AAAAAAAAAAAAAAAAAAAAGCAAAAAAGAGGTGATTGAAAATGAGGTGGCTTCTGCAGAGTGGTTTGTATTTGAAGTAGATTCCAGGCAATCTAAACAACAGGAACAGGGTAGAAATATTGTGGAGAGCCCAGATTAGAAAAATTAATTAAAAATGCCGTAATAAATAATTGGTGGGTACAGCGAACAAGGAGCGCAAAGAAAACTACATGCAAATATTTAATGCTCTGCAAAACTTAGAACTAAAAAGGCAAACTTTTTCATAGAAATTGTCTATTATCTATCACAGGTTGCACATGGATGAGAGAAAGAGAGAGAGAGAGAGAGAGAGATGGGGCTGGCAATTGGCATATTGTCCAAAGGTTGGTGATGGTCACTTCGGGTCATCCAATGGGTTAGAGAAGGATGATTGTTTGTGTGAGAGAGTAATAAAAGGGAAAAGTAGATAAAATACACAAGCTGAACATGATTGATTGATATGAGATGGAGACATCAGACATGGAGTTGGATTTACACTTCTTTCTTCGCCTGACACACACAACCCACATACATTTGCTTATATTCATTGTTAATAACTTAATACCAAAAGCCCCACACACACATTGAGTTGTAGCAGTCTCTAAACTTGGAAAAAATAAAAAATAAAGAAATCATTTCTTGGCTAAGGTTTCAATTACTTTTGGATGGAAACTTATTTCAAGGAGCGGCTGTAAAATAGTTTAAAACCTAACAAAATACACAATGATGGAATTTGATCGATGTTATGTATGGAAAAAAAGATTGGATTGGTATCATAGAGAATCAATTTTACTTTCCATTACCTAAATGATGCTAATGAAGATTTTCTAGTTGGCTTCAGTGCAATTTAATATACTATCCTAGGGCACTAGAGCAGTAGTTGTTCAAGACTAACATTGGACTTGATAAAATAGATTAATTACCTAGTCAATTAATTACCGTAAATCAAGTGCATGACTAGCAAATTAATTGAAGGCGCAAGTGCGCTTGGAATTTCGATATCTTTTCATTGGAACTATTACAGAGCCTGGGATGCACGGGGTGCACAATTTTAAGGCTATTTATCCAGATTTATAATTATATATATGAATAAAGAAAAATGTACGGTATATATATAGTACGATGACTCGTGCCAAGCACGAGATATATTTATTTGGAGAATATTATATTATAAGATGCAATATTCAATAAAAGTTTATAATACGCAAGAAAATTGTACAATGTTCAATAAAAGTTTTATAATATTCAAGTGGAATCTTAAAGTCTCTTGTACATTAAGACTACTGACAAAATAATATTTTAATCAATGAGTTTCCTTTCCTTGTACAAATTGTAAATGTGATTTGAGGAGTACAACAAATCGATATATAGCTGACTTGTTTTTTTCATTGTAGTTTTTTTTTAATGAATTTAAAGATATTCTAAAATATAGCAAAAATTAATTTTTTTATTACACTTAGGAATTTTACTAAATATAAACTCTCAATCTATGGTGTTAATCAACGTTTAAGTCTAAAAAATTAGGAATTTTTACCTCTTTTAGTCAACGTGTAAGTCTAAAAAAAATAGAGTTATTATAAGTTTTTTTCTACATCTTTTAAAACATTAAATATGAGAATGTTAGGGCTAGCTTGTAAAATAATTAATATATTATCTCACTAAAACATTTATACTAATAAAAATTTATTTTAGCATATAAATTTATCCTTTGATATAAGAGAAAGTAACAATTTTACTTATTGTTGTTCACCATATAATATTTAATTATTATTTTATTATATAATAAAAAAGAAATATTGTTAAATAGTGTAGTAGAATTGTTATAAAATTATATGATTTTTTTTTACAATATGGATTTAATATTTTTTTATGTAATAATATAAACAAATCTATACTTAACTTTGACAAATAACACAAATAAATACTTTAGTAAGTATTTAATGTATATACTAAATAGAAATATATCTGGTATAATCAAATACCAAATACAATCAAATAAGTCAAAGTGTACATTTTTATTTGGTATTTGATTTTTTTATTATTAAAATCTATTTATTATACTTACCTTTTTAAAATAAAATAAATAAATTAATTAATTAAATAAATAAAATATTATAATACCAAAATAGTAATGGCATTTAATGCAGTTGACTTTTCTGGATTGTAAATGTAGTAAATAGAATCTCCTTTTATATAAGTATAGATTGTATAATACGGAAATAGTAATGCAATAAATGTTGTTGACTTTTCTTTATACTAAATTTGGTAAATGGTATACCATTTAATATAAGTATAGATAAAATCTATAATTGTAGGTTATTATGCACTAGTCTATTTCTCCCGCCTATTTTTTTATTTATTTATTTAGTATGTTTCAACTATCATTTTATTTGTTTTTAAATTTCTAAGTTTGTAATTAAGATTTTAATATCAATATTTATATCTATATCGATATATATAGAATAAGAATAAGGTTAAATTAGTTTTAGTAAGAATTTCTCACAAAAATGATTAATGACCTTTCAAAAAAAGAATATCACACATG